GCTTTCGCTCGCTATAATGTGAATTGAACTTAACAACCGCTGAAAGCGCGGATTGCAATTAGCTTGTTTCTTTTTTCTTCGCCGAGCGCGAGGATGATTTAACAGCGATAGGTCTCCGGTAGTTCAAAATAGATGCCCTCTATCTTGTTCTCGCCTGCGTCATTCTCATTGGAATACCAAATAACAAAATAATTAGAAAAGAATTAAAATTGAGTGCTTAGTTACCTTAGAGCACAACTGTTAATATCATGTACGGTTTCACATCAGCTTGTCAAAGTCTTCTCTTGGTTCCATAAAACTAATCACTCAATTTTACTTTAGGTCATTTTAAACAGTGACAGTTCTTGTCCTGGAAATTGTTACGTAACTTTCTTAACTTTGTTCGTATTTTCTTTGTATTGTATTTATTTCTTCAAACATATCATCATATTATGTACAAATTTCGTTCCATTGTTTTCAGTTATTTTTTGTGAAAAACAAAAGAGGAATCTTAAGGATCAATTTCCGGTACATAGTGTATTGCATTCAGACCATACGTTCTCTGCATGGTTTACAGCAATATTCTGAGCTGTTACCTCTCGTTCGTGCATTGCATGTCATTGGCAATTGATATTTTTTTTTTTTTCATTCTGTGTTTGAGAGTCGAATTTGGGTTACCCCTGGGATATTTCCACCAGTTTACAACTGATTTTTATGATGAAATCTTGCATATTTACTAAATTCGGCATGATAAATTGATCTATGGAGGTGTTTTTTTGTTTACATGAAAATAAGAAAAAAATTTGATTTTGTCGGACATCGCCAAAATGGTCCACTGACATTGCTAAAAGATCTTACTTACTCACCTCACGTTTAAATCAAAGTATCGCATGTACCTCTGCCGTGAATTCAAACGCATGCAGTTACAAGAACCCAAGTACCCAATCGGAACGCTCCAGGCGTACTCCGGGACCTCAAGACGTGGTAACTGTGGGCAACTTTAGGCTAATTAAGGCGACTTAAGACGACTTTAGCAAAATTGGCAGAAAAAACATGCGATCTTAGGCGACTTAAGCGGACTTACGGCGACTTTATTTGACTCGAGTGATAAATCCTAAACTTAGCAACAGTCTCACCATATACTTTAATAATATCTACAAAATCTCTTTTAAACCGATACTGTAACGATCATTTTAATTACTTTTGTATGCTCGTAAGTCACCATCGTCTCAACTACCCAGATTTTAAGCCATTTTAGTTAAAAACATGCACACAGGCGGCCCTTTTCGAACTGAGACCACGATGGCCACCGAGTTCAAACCTCGGTTCACTCAGTTCAATCGGTTTTCACGATTTTCTCAGTTTGTGTGGCAGTTTTAGTTGAGATTTACCATAGCTAATGGAGGGAAATGGTTAGGAAGGCCGGTAAACATCAAAGAAGCAAACAAACAGACTAAGATTTATGTTGAAAGGCCCTTAACCCCGTACACCTTTTGGGTTTTTCTCATTGACTATACTATGCATGAATTACAAAGTCGCAATGCTTCTATTGGTTAGTTGTATGAGCATACGTAACCACCTTTTGTATTTTGCCAGGTTTTGTGTTGGTTCAACCCCCCAAAATAGCAAAGAAAAACATACCACAAAGAATTTTGCCAAGTTCCCCAACCATTTCCCTTAATTGACTGTGGATTTACCAGGGCCTACTTGTATTTTTTTTACGGAACTGCGAATTTTCTCACGGCGCCTCGTATAATGAAGGAGCAGCGGAATAACATTGAAATTTACGGTAGTTGTTTATGGTTAGTCTCCGTTCGCATCTATAATTTGATTCAGAAATATCTCACAAAAAGTAATGAATAAAATTATAGCATTACAGTCGCTTTTTTATCTCTTTTTCCTGAAATCAACCATGTAACACGTTTCCTTTTAATAACAAACAGTGTCCTATCAACTCTTAGTCCATTACTGGGTTACCTCTTACCACTAACCAGTATTCATATATACATCTGGGTGAGGAGAGCCACTGTGAGAGTACTATTAGTCTACTACTGCTACTATACCCCCCCCAAGGACAAAATGCAATGATCTCCGCTAGGGATCAAAACTAGACTGCTTAACCCAGAGTTAAATGCATCCACCATTGGACTGCCATGCCTCCTCCACTGGTCCTTAGCTTACGGATGGAGTGGAGTTCACCTATAAATTGCCAAGCTTGTTATTCTTTTAGGGGGTAATTTGAAGGTGTGGATTCCTTCTAACATTGCGTAACCAATAACCTCTTAAAAGCAACTTAAGGTAACTTTGGGCGACTTTAGTCTTCTTAAGATCCCAGAGGAGGCCACAGGAATTCTAAGTAAACACATGTGATGGGTGACAAGCTCAAGAAAACATGTAACGTGTCCCAAGCGCTGAAAAACGAAATGGGTGTCAAAAATGGGAAAACAACTACCACGTGTCAAACGGTTGAAAACGTGCATCATCCAAGTCCACAGTTTAAGCTTGGTTTTGCTAAGCTTATACTGAGGAAGCAGCGATTGTAGAAAATTAGTAAAGAAAATAGACAGATAGCTTAAATCTGATTTCTAGTTATTTTACCAGCATTATGACTGTGCCATTATGACACAGAGTTTCGCTGGGATTGGATTCTGATGAAGTGGTATAAATCAGGGTCGAAGCAATGTTTACAAGATATGCCACTTATACGTCTGATTCTTTACAGGAAAAAAACAATCCTCGATCGGAAAAAAAGAACAGAATTTCCACAATTTTCCGATCACGTTTCGTCGAATTTAAATAATCATTTACACGAATAATGCGAAACTGAGGATCCATCATGATGTATTCTGTTACCTAGCAACATCTAGGCCTAAAATCGCGGGCTCAATCATTCAGACTGAAGACCGTACAGGAATTCCGGCCGAGATAGACGTTTGGTCGGACTTCCGGTACTCAAACAACGATTTTCGCAGGTGTTTCAGTGTGGAGAGCAACCTCCGCGGCATTAATTTCAGTTTTTGTCTAAACAATAGATTTAGCATGTTCTAATTACTAAAAATTGTAATACATTGTAGTTCCGCTCTTTGAAACTAAAGTCAACAGACAAGTTCAATTTGATCAGGCCCAGGCGAGACTAAAGCCTGAGAAAGCAGACGGATCTCTTTCGGCGTTCTACTATCTGCACTTTCTCTGAAATTCGAGCTGAAACATTTAATAATGACGACAAAATAGTGCTCCTAAAATGTTTGATAAGAATAGCAACTAAAATGAGACATAAATTATAATGCCTAGATCTCAGGCTCTCTCTTCAAGAGGGGCAAAGAAGAGAGAGCCTGGTATTGAGGCTGGACGTTACACTGTTGTCTTTAGGGCTTCGTCATCATTCTGTTCGAATCGCAGATTTCTCTCTCGGCCGAAAGAAGTTAGTTGTCCGAGGAGCGAAGGATCTCTAACTTCTGAAGGAAACGTAAACGAAAGGTGCTCAATTTACTCCTCGATGGTGTAAGGGGCATGGCGGAATGGGTGCTTCTTTGTTTTTTTTGTCGGTGTTTCTGCGACCACCTTCAAAATCAGGGAGTCTCGAGAACAGTGCTTTGCGTGTACTGTATGAACGACGGTTGGCCTGCATCACTACAGCAAACATTTCCTTCACATTTCTTTCCGTTCACGACACAAACATTTCTCGTACTCGCGGCGCCTGCAGGAAAATCGCGAGGAAAGTTGCAAAGCTGATTAAAATCCCGACTAGTAGCACCACTCGGTCCAGGATCTTGGCGGCCATTTGCCAATCCATGTGATTGTTCATTTTTATCATCTCTTCGGTATGCAGGTCATCCACTGGCTCGGACACATACTTTCCCTGCTGCTTATGTTCCACGTGATCATTCAAAATAGGAGTCTCGCGAACACTGCTTTGTGTTCTAGAACGCGTGCGCTGTAAGAGCGACGTCTGACCAGCATCACTGCAGCAACCATTTCCTTCGCATTTCGTTTCGTTGATGATACTCATCTTTCTCATTTCGCAAGGCGCTGAGTAGGAATTCTCGGAAAGTTGTGCTAAATCGCTGTTTTCTTCTATGATGAAACTTTTTCGGCTCTTCTTCTTTGTCTTGCCAATGGGTTCATACTTTATCCTGACTAACGGTCCCAGAACATTGAACATAAGTCTCCTAAGCCACCTGGGCATGACAGAGCGCCGGTAGTAAAAGTTCAAAATGACACAGGTGGCAAACAGAGCCAGTCCAATCTCTGTTATGGCACTGGAGTAGTATTTAGCTGGAAAAAAAAAACAACAAGCATCGTTGGTAAAGTGATTCAAACGAAATTTTTTTTAACTTTCCCCTGAATTTTCCCTACCAAGCACTGTTTGAAGATGATGCACAATGCGCAATGCAGTACTGAGGAATCACCTCAAGTCTAGTGACTTCACACAACTTCCTAGTCCTAGTCCCAGCGGCATAGACAATCTCCAGACGGGACATGTAGTAAGGAATGACTCTGGCCACTCAGACAGCATGTTTGCAGTATCCATTTAAGGGGCGTTTGCCATAGAAGAACACTGGGACGTACTCTCTAGGGTATCCCCCGAACCCCTCTCCAAACCAAACACTACTAGACGTTCAAACTTATAACTGGAAAGTCTTTTCAATTGTGCCATCCAAACTGTAGCTCGCTGATGGCCAAACTTTAACTGAGAACTTAAATTAGTGTGCAGCGTGCTAACCCAACAGCTTAATGTTACACAAAAAAATTAACAAAGTGAAAAGTTGGATACTTATCCACCTTATCACCCAAATGGTTAAGTAAAAGTCAATGTATGTAAGAAAAGCAGTGGATGGATTTTACCTGACAACACATTGCAACCCTGCCTGATCTAGTGGAACTCTCAGTTAGATTGTCTATCATATATCTAGATATACAGAAGATAGTCCTTGATACTGATAGCTCACGAAATATGTTACCTAGCAACGGAATGTACTGAGAATCCGCAGGCAGTTTATTCGAGGTTAGCTCCTGAAAAATAGCCATAGCCATCAACACGGTGATGCCCAGTCCAATCCTCTCCCCAGATTCCGGCGGTAAGATAAAGGAGAGAAGGACCATCATTGCGATAAGAGAACACGGTACCACAAGGTTCACCATGTAGAAATAGTAACGCCTTCTTAAATGGAGTGTGATTATCACGCTTGGGTACGGGTGGATACAGCAGCTGTATTTGTCCTACAAAGAATTAATTAATCACATTAATTGATCACAGTTGAAACGTTCTTCATTAAAAAAGTAGTTGCAACCTTCATTTCTTCGGAGCATTGTCATATTTGAATAATCGAATTTAATTAACTGTAGTGTATGAGGTGAAAATTTAATCACAAGTTTGTTCATGCTACATTTTAATAACATCTTAACTGATTTTCATTCGCCATCGCCACTTGATCAAGAAAGAAACAACTGTTTTGAAATTCTAGAAATGGTCTACAGACAGTGAAATATCGTTGCAGATGTACATAAAGAAGTTCTCTTTAACTGTAATATCAATGAATCGAAGTCGCTCTGGATTATTGAAAGCAAATCCAGGGAATTGGTTTGACTGTATGTAAGCCTTGATCAAATTCTTGTCACAACAACTATCAAAACCGTTTTCCATATCTAAAACCTAAGCACTAAACATAGTCTCAACTAACATATGTTGTTAAAAATAACGAGGGAGGTAAGTAAGGCGAATCTAACAAGTTCCTTCACTAACCTCTATTCTGACAGCTGTTACATTAGCCAACTCCCATTCGGTATTATTTTTATATATGTCTCCTTTGGCCCCAGTCTCCGACTCATCCACGACTATATCCACCTCGCTTCCATCAAAAGCCCACGATCCGAACTTCAGTGTGCAGATCTAAACAAAGCAGAATATAATTCATAGCATTTAAGTCTGAAGTCGGAGCAAAGTGACTCACAAAACTTGACTGAGTATTGCTACCATGTTTTTTGATTTTATAAAGAAACCCATTTTGTTACGTGCACAGTACTACTCTTTCAGAAAACAGTTAAACCCTACATTTTTCAACATCCTTAAGGAGTTTACAAACGCAGCAGTGCATTATTGTCACGTGGCTAGTTTTGCTGTACCACGTGATCCAGGGCTGCATCAGTCAATCGTTGCAGCAGTCTGCATCATCAGAACTGCGTCTGTCAATCACCGCACTCAGATTTGTGCATGTTTTCTCGTCGATTCTCTCATATTCGTGCTTTTTAAAGGCGTTAAGAGCGTCCAAACCTTCTCAATTAAACTTCCCTTTACGACCGCTCTTCATTCAGTGCCACTGAATTTGCAAATGCTCGCCATGCTGACTGGCGTGTTGTTAAGTCGTAAGCAGAAGAAGATGCTTTTTAAGGTCCGAATCGGCATATGATCAGACATACCACACGAAGTACGTGCAAACATCATGACGGGGGAATAAACTTTTAGATCGATGGCGCAGTAAAGTGAGATTTTTAACAAAATACACGTTCAAATTAACAGGTGACGAACCTGGTCATCAAATGGAAAGAATTCAGTGTTGATGTCACATGTGCTCTGAAAGATTGCTGGCGCCATCCACTTGCAGGAACCATTGGAGTTGATGGCTATTTTTGTCTTGTACTTCTCTGTGCCTCCTCCCAGTTTATCGTTGTCATCAGCGCTGTCGGCGAACCGCACACTGTGTTAAGTTTAATGACAATGAATAACAGCAGGCCACGTTTGATCGACTGATTGATGGATACATGGATCGATCGATGGATTGATGAATTGAAGGATTGATGGACTGATGGACTGATGGATTGATGGATTGATGGGTTGATGGGTTGATGGGTTGAAGTATTGATGGATTGATGGGTTGAAATATTGATAGATTGATGGATCGGTGGATTGATGGAATGATGGAATGATGGATTGAAATATTGATAGATTGATGGATCGGTGGATTGATGGAATGATGGATTGATGGATTGATGGAATGATGGATTGAAATATTGATGGATTGATGGATCGGTGGATTACTGGATTGATGGATTGATGGAATGATGGATTGAAATATTGATGGATTGATGGATCGGTGGATTGATGGAATGATGGATTGATGGAATGATGGATTGATGGATTGATGGAATGATGGATCGATGGAATGATGGATTGATGGATTGAAATATTGATGGATTGATGGATTGATGGATTGACGGATTGACGAACTGATGGATTCATGAATTGATGGATTGATAAATTGATCGATCGATTGAAGAAAAACTGATTTTTATCTAAAGGATGCCTGCTCGAGTCTTGTCAAGTAATATTGGCATCATGAGTCAAGTTTTAAGAAATGTAAGATCACCCGCAGACTAAAAAAGATAGAAGAAATAAGCTCAATAATTCTGGATGACCACCAGCTTGGGGTCATCCAAACAGAGCTACTTAAAAGGACTAGTTCAGTAACTTTATTTTGAATGGTGACAGGAACATTAGACTTCCATTCACAGACTGAAAAGTTAGAACCACCTTGTACTGCGTTACCATGAGAACCTTACAAATAAAAGAAACTGCTATGTCTCTAGTCTCAATTGATGTAAGAATTCTTCGTTAGCGTTTTCTTTATCATTGATTTTGCTGCCAATTGTTATTTGCAATTACGAAGGAGTGCTGGTGGAATGTGTTAGAAGTTAAAACAGAAAACAAACATAGGACATAACCACGTGGCCCGCTTTCATTACAAACATGTTATTTATATCATTATGTTAGAAAATAAGTTATCACAAAAATGATTGTTAGCTCATGTCGCGTGCCCTGTTAAATTTCAAATTAATAAAAGAACAGTCTGTTATGATATCCTTTTTGTCGACTCAAATATAAGTTAATAACGAGGAATAAAACACAAATAGCGGTGATAAACATATTAAACTTACGCATTTTAATTACTTGACGTTTCGTATGCTACGCAACATACATTTTCAAAAGTGGAATAAAGACCGACGTTTCCAGACCCCTTATTTACATTTCATATATAGTTTTCAAAAATTGTAACGGTCTTTATTCCACTTTTGAAAATGTATGTTGCGTAGCATATGAAACGTCAAGTTATTAAAATGCGTAAGTTTAATATGTTTATCACCGTACCGCTATTTGTGTTTTATTCCTCGTTAAACTACGATGGCCCAAGAACAAAAGCCTTTATGAAAAAGTAAGCCAACCCAGGTTTGTCAACAGTTGAACGCCTCCTCAGGCATGGTTTAGCTCAGTAACCGACGGTAACCGAGTAAAAGCAGACGTTGTCCCGAGATCTTGGCAGCAAGTGTCTACGCGTGCAGTGCGTAAAGAAGAGAAAAATAGACAAAGATTCCTCCTAATGTAAGTAGATTTCAAGTCAGCAGCCAAAAAAGCTGAATAAACTCATGTTTAGGCAAAGAAATCCCGGACTGCTGTTTCCCGTTCATCGTCAAGTGCCAAAAGCGTTTTCCCCGGGGGGATATTCCCAGAATAGTTGGGTTGGGGTGTGCGNCCCCCCCCAAGGACAAAATGCAATGATCTCCGCTAGGGATCAAAACTAGACTGCTTAACCCAGAGTTAAATGCATCCACCATTGGACTGCCATGCCTCCTCCACTGGTCCTTAGCTTACGGATGGAGTGGAGTTCACCTATAAATTGCCAAGCTTGTTATTCTTTTAGGGGGTAATTTGAAGGTGTGGATTCCTTCTAACATTGCGTAACCAATAACCTCTTAAAAGCAACTTAAGGTAACTTTGGGCGACTTTAGTCTTCTTAAGATCCCAGAGGAGGCCACAGGAATTCTAAGTAAACACATGTGATGGGTGACAAGCTCAAGAAAACATGTAACGTGTCCCAAGCGCTGAAAAACGAAATGGGTGTCAAAAATGGGAAAACAACTACCACGTGTCAAACGGTTGAAAACGTGCATCATCCAAGTCCACAGTTTAAGCTTGGTTTTGCTAAGCTTATACTGAGGAAGCAGCGATTGTAGAAAATTAGTAAAGAAAATAGACAGATAGCTTAAATCTGATTTCTAGTTATTTTACCAGCATTATGACTGTGCCATTATGACACAGAGTTTCGCTGGGATTGGATTCTGATGAAGTGGTATAAATCAGGGTCGAAGCAATGTTTACAAGATATGCCACTTATACGTCTGATTCTTTACAGGAAAAAAACAATCCTCGATCGGAAAAAAAGAACAGAATTTCCACAATTTTCCGATCACGTTTCGTCGAATTTAAATAATCATTTACACGAATAATGCGAAACTGAGGATCCATCATGATGTATTCTGTTACCTAGCAACATCTAGGCCTAAAATCGCGGGCTCAATCATTCAGACTGAAGACCGTACAGGAATTCCGACCGAGATAGACGTTTGGTCGGACTTCCGGTACTCAAACAACGATTTTCGCAGGTGTTTCAGTGTGGAGAGCAACCTCCGCGGCATTAATTTCAGTTTTTGTCTAAACAATAGATTTAGCATGTTCTAATTACTAAAAATTGTAATACATTGTAGTTCCGCTCTTTGAAACTAAAGTCAACAGACAAGTTCAATTTGATCAGGCCCAGGCGAGACTAAAGCCTGAGAAAGCAGACGGATCTCTTTCGGCGTTCTACTATCTGCACTTTCTCTGAAATTCGAGCTGAAACATTTAATAATGACGACAAAATAGTGCTCCTAAAATGTTTGATAAGAATAGCAACTAAAATGAGACATAAATTATAATGCCTAGATCTCAGGCTCTCTCTTCAAGAGGGGCAAAGAAGAGAGAGCCTGGTATTGAGGCTGGACGTTACACTGTTGTCTTTAGGGCTTCGTCATCATTCTGTTCGAATCGCAGATTTCTCTCTCGGCCGAAAGAAGTTAGTTGTCCGAGGAGCGAAGGATCTCTAACTTCTGAAGGAAACGTAAACGAAAGGTGCTCAATTTACTCCTCGATGGTGTAAGGGGCATGGCGGAATGGGTGCTTCTTTGTTTTTTTTGTCGGTGTTTCTGCGACCACCTTCAAAATCAGGGAGTCTCGAGAACAGTGCTTTGCGTGTACTGTATGAACGACGGTTGGCCTGCATCACTACAGCAAACATTTCCTTCACATTTCTTTCCGTTCACGACACAAACATTTCTCGTACTCGCGGCGCCTGCAGGAAAATCGCGAGGAAAGTTGCAAAGCTGATTAAAATCCCGACTAGTAGCANTTCTTTCCGTTCACGACACAAACATTTCTCGTACTCGCGGCGCCTGCAGGAAAATCGCGAGGAAAGTTGCAAAGCTGATTAAAATCCCGACTAGTAGCACCACTCGGTCCAGGATCTTGGCGGCCATTTGCCAATCCATGTGATTGTTCATTTTTATCATCTCTTCGGTATGCAGGTCATCCACTGGCTCGGACACATACTTTCCCTGCTGCTTATGTTCCACGTGATCATTCAAAATAGGAGTCTCGCGAACACTGCTTTGTGTTCTAGAACGCGTGCGCTGTAAGAGCGACGTCTGACCAGCATCACTGCAGCAACCATTTCCTTCGCATTTCGTTTCGTTGATGATACTCATCTTTCTCATTTCGCAAGGCGCTGAGTAGGAATTCTCGGAAAGTTGTGCTAAATCGCTGTTTTCTTCTATGATGAAACTTTTTCGGCTCTTCTTCTTTGTCTTGCCAATGGGTTCATACTTTATCCTGACTAACGGTCCCAGAACATTGAACATAAGTCTCCTAAGCCACCTGGGCATGACAGAGCGCCGGTAGTAAAAGTTCAAAATGACACAGGTGGCAAACAGAGCCAGTCCAATCTCTGTTATGGCACTGGAGTAGTATTTAGCTGGAAAAAAAAAACAACAAGCATCGTTGGTAAAGTGATTCAAACGAAATTTTTTTTAACTTTCCCCTGAATTTTCCCTACCAAGCACTGTTTGAAGATGATGCACAATGCGCAATGCAGTACTGAGGAATCACCTCAAGTCTAGTGACTTCACACAACTTCCTAGTCCTAGTCCCAGCGGCATAGACAATCTCCAGACGGGACATGTAGTAAGGAATGACTCTGGCCACTCAGACAGCATGTTTGCAGTATCCATTTAAGGGGCGTTTGCCATAGAAGAACACTGGGACGTACTCTCTAGGGTATCCCCCGAACCCCTCTCCAAACCAAACACTACTAGACGTTCAAACTTATAACTGGAAAGTCTTTTCAATTGTGCCATCCAAACTGTAGCTCGCTGATGGCCAAACTTTAACTGAGAACTTAAATTAGTGTGCAGCGTGCTAACCCAACAGCTTAATGTTACACAAAAAAATTAACAAAGTGAAAAGTTGGATACTTATCCACCTTATCACCCAAATGGTTAAGTAAAAGTCAATGTATGTAAGAAAAGCAGTGGATGGATTTTACCTGACAACACATTGCAACCCTGCCTGATCTAGTGGAACTCTCAGTTAGATTGTCTATCATATATCTAGATATACAGAAGATAGTCCTTGATACTGATAGCTCACGAAATATGTTACCTAGCAACGGAATGTACTGAGAATCCGCAGGCAGTTTATTCGAGGTTAGCTCCTGAAAAATAGCCATAGCCATCAACACGGTGATGCCCAGTCCAATCCTCTCCCCAGATTCCGGCGGTAAGATAAAGGAGAGAAGGACCATCATTGCGATAAGAGAACACGGTACCACAAGGTTCACCATGTAGAAATAGTAACGCCTTCTTAAATGGAGTGTGATTATCACGCTTGGGTACGGGTGGATACAGCAGCTGTATTTGTCCTACAAAGAATTAATTAATCACATTAATTGATCACAGTTGAAACGTTCTTCATTAAAAAAGTAGTTGCAACCTTCATTTCTTCGGAGCATTGTCATATTTGAATAATCGAATTTAATTAACTGTAGTGTATGAGGTGAAAATTTAATCACAAGTTTGTTCATGCTACATTTTAATAACATCTTAACTGATTTTCATTCGCCATCGCCACTTGATCAAGAAAGAAACAACTGTTTTGAAATTCTAGAAATGGTCTACAGACAGTGAAATATCGTTGCAGATGTACATAAAGAAGTTCTCTTTAACTGTAATATCAATGAATCGAAGTCGCTCTGGATTATTGAAAGCAAATCCAGGGAATTGGTTTGACTGTATGTAAGCCTTGATCAAATTCTTGTCACAACAACTATCAAAACCGTTTTCCATATCTAAAACCTAAGCACTAAACATAGTCTCAACTAACATATGTTGTTAAAAATAACGAGGGAGGTAAGTAAGGCGAATCTAACAAGTTCCTTCACTAACCTCTATTCTGACAGCTGTTACATTAGCCAACTCCCATTCGGTATTATTTTTATATATGTCTCCTTTGGCCCCAGTCTCCGACTCATCCACGACTATATCCACCTCGCTTCCATCAAAAGCCCACGATCCGAACTTCAGTGTGCAGATCTAAACAAAGCAGAATATAATTCATAGCATTTAAGTCTGAAGTCGGAGCAAAGTGACTCACAAAACTTGACTGAGTATTGCTACCATGTTTTTTGATTTTATAAAGAAACCCATTTTGTTACGTGCACAGTACTACTCTTTCAGAAAACAGTTAAACCCTACATTTTTCAACATCCTTAAGGAGTTTGCAAACACAGCAGTACATTATTGTCACGTGGCTAGTTTTGCTGTACCACGTGATCCAGGGCTGCATCAGTCAATCGTTGCAGCAGTCTACATCATCAGAACTGCGTCTGTCAATCACCGCACTCAGATTTGTGCATGTTTTCTCGTCGATTCTCTCATATTCGTGCTTTTTAAAGGCGTTAAGAGCGTCCAAACCTTCTCAATTAAACTTCCCTTTACGACCGCTCTTCATTCAGTGCCACTGAATTTGCAAATGCTCGCCATGCTGACTGGCGTGTTGTTAAGTCGTAAGCAGAAGAAGATGCTTTTTAAGGTCCGAATCGGCATATGATCAGACATACCACACGAAGTACGTGCAAACATCATGACGGGGGAATAAACTTTTAGATCGATGGCGCAGTAAAGTGAGATTTTTAACAAAATACACATTCAAATTAATAGGTGACGAACCTGGTCATCAAATGGAAAGAATTCAGTGTTGATGTCACATGTGCTCTGAAAGATTGCTGGCGCCATCCACTTGCAGGAACCATTGGAGTTGATGGCTATTTTTGTCTTGTACTTCTCTGTGCCTCCTCCCAGTTTATCGTTGTCATCAGCGCTGTCGGCGAACCGCACACTGTGTTAAGTTTAATGACAATGAATAACAGCAGGCCACGTTTGATCGACTGATTGATGGATACATGGATCGATCGATGGATTGATGAATTGAAGGATTGATGGACTGATGGACTGATGGATTGATGGATTGATGGGTTGATGGGTTGATGGGTTGAAGTATTGATGGATTGATGGGTTGAAATATTGATAGATTGATGGATCGGTGGATTGATGGAATGATGGAATGATGGATTGAAATATTGATAGATTGATGGATCGGTGGATTGATGGAATGATGGATTGATGGATTGATGGAATGATGGATTGAAATATTGATGGATTGATGGATCGGTGGATTACTGGATTGATGGATTGATGGAATGATGGATTGAAATATTGATGGATTGATGGATCGGTGGATTGATGGAATGATGGATTGATGGAATGATGGATTGATGGATTGATGGAATGATGGATCGATGGAATGATGGATTGATGGATTGAAATATTGATGGATTGATGGATCGGTGGATTGATGGATTGATGGATTGATGGGTTGATGGGTTGATGGGTTGATGGATTGATGGGTTGATGGATCGGTGGATTGATGGAATGATGGATTGATGGATTGATGGATTGAAATATTGATGGATCGATGGATCGGTGGATTGATGGATTGATGGATTGATGGATTGATGGGTTGATGGATTGATGGGTTGATGGGTTGATGGGTTGAAGTATTGATGGATTGATGGAATGATGGATTGATGGATTGATGGGTTGATGGGTTGATGGGTTGATGGGTTGAAGTATTGATGGATTGATGGATCGGTGGATTGATGGAATGATGGATTGATGGATTGATGGATTGATGGATTGATGGATTGATGGGTTGATGGGTTGATGGGTTGATGGGTTGAAATATTGATAGATTGATGGATCGGTGGATTGATGGAATGATGGATTGATGGATTGATGGATTGAAATATTGATGGATTGATGGATCGGTGGATCGGTGGATTGATGGATTGATGGATTGATGGAATGATGGAATGATGGATTGAAATATTGATGGATTGATGGATCGGTGGATTGATGGAATGATGGAATGATGGATTGAAATATTGATAGATTGATGGATCGGTGGATTGATGGAATGATGGATTGATGGATTGATGGAATGATGGATTGAAATATTGATGGATTGATGGATCGGTGGATTACTGGATTGATGGATTGATGGAATGATGGATTGAAATATTGATGGATTGATGGATCGGTGGATTGATGGAATGATGGATTGATGGAATGATGGATTGATGGATTGATGGAATGATGGATCGATGGAATGATGGATTGATGGATTGAAATATTGATGGATTGATGGATTGATGGATTGACGGATTGACGAACTGATGGATTCATGAATTGATGGATTGATAAATTGATCGATCGATTGAAGAAAAACTGATTTTTATCTAAAGGATGCCTGCTCGAGTCTTGTCAAGTAATATTGGCATCATGAGTCAAGTTTTAAGAAATGTAAGATCACCCGCAGACTAAAAAAGATAGAAGAAATAAGCTCAATAATTCTGGATGACCACCAGCTTGGGGTCATCCAAACAGAGCTACTTAAAAGGACTAGTTCAGTAACTTTATTTTGAATGGTGACAGGAACATTAGACTTCCATTCACAGACTGAAAAGTTAGAACCACCTTGTACTGCGTTACCATGAGAACCTTACAAATAAAAGAAACTGCTATGTCTCTAGTCTCAATTGATGTAAGAATTCTTCGTTAGCGTTTTCTTTATCATTGATTTTGCTGCCAATTGTTATTTGCAATTACGAAGGAGTGCTGGTGGAATGTGTTAGAAGTTAAAACAGAAAACAAACATAGGACATAACCACGTGGCCCGCTTTCATTACAAACATGTTATTTATATCATTATGTTAGAAAATAAGTTATCACAAAAATGATTGTTAGCTCATGTCGCGTGCCCTGTTAAATTTCAAATTAATAAAAGAACAGTCTGTTATGATATCCTTTTTGTCGACTCAAATATAAGTTAATAACGAGGAATAAAACACAAATAGCGGTGATAAACATATTAAACTTACGCATTTTAATTACTTGACGTTTCGTATGCTACGCAACATACATTTTCAAAAGTGGAATAAAGACCGACGTTTCCAGACCCCTTATTTACATTTCATATATAGTTTTCAAAAATTGTAACGGTCTTTATTCCACTTTTGAAAATGTATGTTGCGTAGCATATGAAACGTCAAGTTATTAAAATGCGTAAGTTTAATATGTTTATTACCGCTATTTGTGTTTTATTCCTCGTTAGCCTAATACATTCATTGGAGGTCAGATGGTGCTCAGTTTCCCTCCGTTACTGAATATTTACGTTATCAGTTTTTAATTTCTGATTTATTTCAGGTTCGCTTGGCTGAAGACCTTGGAATTGACAAGACTCGTGCCTCCCTACTGTTAACATTTGTGACTGTCGGATCAGGTTTCGGTCGTGTCATCTTAGGCCGCATCTCGGATGTCCGACGCTTCAATCGCGTTTACATCGCTCAAATCGCCTTTCTTGTTGTAGGCTTAAGCAATTTTGTTGTACCTGTTACAGCATCCTTCACCATTTTAGCCATAGATGCTTTTATATTTGGTTTGTTCGGAGGATGTTACTTAATTATAAACCCAGTTATTGTTTGTGACATTCTGGGTCCGCAGAAAGTCTCGTACGGTTTAGGAATGACTTTCTTTGTAATCGCCATTCCGCGAACACTTGGACCGCTGATCGCTGGATGGATTTATGACGGACTCCAGAGTTACGCTATCGCGTTCTACTCCTTGGGTGCCACAACGTGTATTTCCGCTGTCCTAGCTTCTTTTGTTCCAATTTTGTTACGAAAGCAAGGTGAATATGTAATAAACCCTTGATACAAAACCAAATGAAGCCCAGGTCATGTGGTCTCTTCTGACTATATCAAGACCCATAATTAGCCACTGGATTATATTATTTTTTTAATATTATACAATTATATACATAGATATGGTTTCGTTGTATAATTTGATAGAGCTGTCGTGTGAAATAATTTCTGCTAAAGGGCTGGCTACTTAATAAAGGCAACACAGAACTTTGAAAAAGAAATATTGTGTTGTGTCTTCTTTATTTAATTGTAAGGGTACAACTGACTCGCCGACTAACGACTGACTGACTAGGTGACTCACTGACTGACTCATTGACTGGCTGACGGACTCACTGACTGACTGACTGACT